TGAAAATCGCTAAGATCCAAAGCTGTGCACCAGATGCTTGTACACGTTTATAATTATGTTTGAAAAAAGAAAACACAAGACCTAAATAAGCCTTTGCTTTAAACTACAGACCGAAACCCAAATGTATTGCGTTTCAGTTTGGTGAGTATGAAGTCATGCCCTGTCATTTTTCCCAGGGTGGCCTGACTGATGACCAAGCAGGCTCTTGTCACAGGAGTAGCCACAGTGATCGCTCTGACAGCTTTTTATTGTCTGCACTACCAATCGGAAACTGAGGCTCTGGACTATGGAAAAACAATTACTTTTACATTAAAAAAAAAAATTGAGCCAACCCAGTAGGACCTCTGAGCCTACAACAGAGAGTCGGGAGGCTGCTAGGCCAGGCATCCTCACTGACTCCTGACATCCATGCCCCCTGGGACAAGTCCCTGAAGGGATGTGTGTTGGGAGCTTGTGCCCCTTCTCAGAGTGCTTGGTTTTGCCTGAGACGGACGCTTGCTGTGGGGGATGACTCAGAAGAAAAGCCACAGCTGGGCAGCTGGGAGTGAGGCCAGGGGCTCTGCTTCGTCACCCTGGAGGCCACTCGGGGGGCATCTGCACCCTGGTTGGGCTACACTGAGCAAACCCCAATCAATCCCACAGTTCCTGCTCAAGTTCCTGAAATTTCCAAACTCTTGGGTGATGCCCAAGATAGCAGATGTGGGTACAGGAAACCCTGTACCCTGAAGTATTTTAATTACCATCCTAACTTCCTTGCCAGGCAAATGCTTTATGTGAATGTTAGAGTTGGGCTTTCTGTGAGATCTGGGGTTTGGGGACTTCCCTGGACCCCCCAGCAACCTCTCTGGTTGGCAGAGCAGTCCGCTTGGAGGAGATGGGATGTGGGGAGACTTCCTAATGGTTCATTCTGGCTGCCAATGGGGCCCAGAGGGGGTGCTTTGCTCCCTGAAGGACCCAGAGCCCATTTTGCAGGCTGTATTCCCACCAAGCGTTTGCACTCACCATGGCGAAGCCTGACAGGAGGGCGGAGGTACGGCTGGAGGCCTTCAGCTTGGCCCTGCTCAGGTACAGCTTCCTCCAGGAGAGGGCCTGCACAGAGTGGTGGTTGGAAGTGACCAGTTCCAGGTAGCTACGGCGGACCCAGTCACGGTAATCCATGCCCTTGTGGCCAGGCTCTGAGCAAGCAGGCGTGGAGGGGTCCATGGGCACGTTGAGCTCGGCACTCATGATGGAAGCCAGGCTGGGGGCGGGAGAGAGGCATACTCAGGCATCATAGAGGGTTCCCGGGGTCTGGAAAAGCCAGAATCCAAGCTAGGGTAACCTTTGCCAGGACCCACTGTATACACCCTATACTAGAGCCATGGGGGCCAGGGGAGTGTGAGTGGGGGGCTCTGGTCTCTGATACAGTCCTCACAATGGAATGTGGGGACCATTTGCAGCAGAGGAGGGTCAGGAGTGCATTTCCAGGACCACCACAGTGTCCAGCATTGTCCCTCTGCACAGCTGGAATCCGGCCTCCCATCCCGAGCTCAGAAGGGTTCCAGTTGAGTGTGGCTCTTGGGTGAATGGAATTCCAAGGTTGGCCAAGAGCACCTCAGCAATCCTCAGATTTGTGCCTGTCTTCATGGAGTAGGGAGCTGTAACATTTAGAAAGATCCTAGGACCTCAAGTTACCAAGCCTGGATTTGACTCGACTGTGATCCTGAGTATGATATCTGACCTTGCTTACCTCGCTCATCTTCATATGGGGACTTCCCCACCACCCTACAAGGCTCTTAAACAAGATAATGGACCTACAGACTCAGAGCTGCTTTTCCATGTCCAGGCGTCAGCCATAAAATACACACTTCCAAGCAGCCTCTTGTTTCTCAAATCCAACTTAAATTTTCATCAGCACGGTTGACCCTAAAAAATACTTGGTTTATATACATAAAGTAAAGCCATCTTCAGACTACAAGGGAAACCTTTAGTAAAATGAAAAATGAAATCCACCAACCAACATGAGCATGTTTTGGAGAAACAGAGACTGGAGACCCTTGGAGTCATCCCAGGTAGACATCTGGTGTGACAATAACATGGAATGAAAATCAGAAGGACTGATCTGTTGAGATTTGTGAATTTAAACCCAAATGTCCACTAATCCAAACAGGGATTGGCGGTCTCATGTGGCCCAAGGGGCGGGCCCCGGTGGCAGCACGCTGGGATCAGGTCTAATTAATCCACAGGACAGGCTTCAAGAGCATAGGCACCTAGCAGCTACGTTGGCATCAGATATTAACTTGTACGTTCAGGCCGGAATGGGCCTCATGAAAAGCCTACTTAAGACTATTACAGACAGATCAGGGTTTCTGGATCCCAGGGAGCACAGCTGGGGTCAGAGGTGTTTACCAGGGTCAGTGGCTGAGGAAATGCCCCAAACCTGATCCGTCCATGCCAACATCTAAAACAGTTCTAAGGGAAGGTCTGGGAGATGAGAAGAGCTCTGTTTTGGGTACCTTCCTCTTTGTTCTCTGCCAGTCTGTGGAGGCACAGCTTTTATTGGCTAATAGGACCCCGGAAACAGTTCTGTGCTCTTCTATTTCTGCCAGGGATGCTAATTACTAGGTCATTTATAGGGATGCTGACTTGGAAGCCTGGGTTACTGACCCTTTGCCCATGTCTGAAGCCAGCAGCATTGCTTTCAAGCACTTCAATCACTGCAAGGTCCCTTCCCCGGGAGAGAATCCAGAGGAATGTTGCTCAGAAACCAATCCGTTGGTTAGCTCCAAATAATTTAGAATGACATCATTTGGAAACGTACTTTTTCATTTTTTCCACATGTAACAGAAGTGGGCCTATAGGTCTGATGAAGACAGTGTACTGCCGTGTGGAGGGGGCACAACCTTTGCCCCTTCAGAGTATCTGTCTCTCCATCCTCCATCCTTGTAGCCAAGAGATTGCTTCCTGGGCCCTAAGGGAAGACTGCATTTGGAACTTAGGCATCAAAGATGAAAGAGGTAAGGATCCTGCCCAGTGGGGGAGCAGGATAAGGGGGTGATTCTCATCCGATGAGCTAAGTGCTACTTTAGTGGAGAAGGTGTGAGGGCCAGGGAGCAGAGGAGAGGGGTTGGCTGCCTCAGCTTTGGGCAGGGAGAAGGTCCCTGCTAGGGAGCAAGGATAGGGGACAGGGAATAGGAAGTAAAGGCAATAATGGCAAAGAGGGATCCTTCCTCAAAGACAAGATGCCGCCCATATGGGAGGGTTCTGAGAGGCAGGGGGACATGGCAGGAAGGCTGGCGGCATAGGGGATCAAGGAAATGGGGGAGGGGGAGGCAGGATGGAGGGAGTACTGGAGCCCAGGCAGCCCAAGCAGTGTGACTGGGCTGGACTGACTCTGGGAGGGCCCGGCTGTGGGGCATGGAAGGAGTTGGAGAGGGAAGCAGTCTAGGGTCAGTCTGGTCTATGTGCCCACTGAAATGGCTGGCTGACTCGGAAGGGCAGGAGGGTCTAGTGGCCTCCAATAAGACAAAGGCATGCATGGGGTGAAGAAGAGGGAAGTCCTGGGGCCATTNGGGAAGAGCACAATGATGGTGCCAACTTGGGCCAGTGAAGCAACGTCCTCCACAACTAGACTGAAGAACAAAACGACAGCAACTTGTCTGTTCCCTTCCCCCAATTCCCCAGCACTGTTCCCATCCCCCAATTCCCCAAAAAAATCTTTAAAAAAAAAGTAAAAACAGAGGCTCCTGATCGTGCCCAGACTCAGAGCGGTACACCTGGACAGCCTCACACAGACCACAGGGCGCATCTCTCAGCGGAGACCAAAAACCAGAGGGAGGAGCCTGCATCTCTGAAGGCCAGAAATGGTGATGGACATAAGGACCACGGTGAGGAGGGGCAGCTGTGGGGAGAGGCCTGGGCTGGGCAGAGTGAGCTGAATCATCAGCCACAGTCACAGGATGCCAACAATAATGTCTAAAATGGATAAATCAAGCAACAGCAATCTCCGAATGTTACTCAGAAATGTGGAGACTGAGAGAGCTGCAAGTGGCTGCCTCCGGGGGGTAGGAACAAGGGGCTGCTGGGGTTGTTAGAAGCCTTTGAGCAATACAGCTGACCCTTGAACAGTACATAGGTGTTAGGGGCACCAGCCCCCCAAGTAGTCAAAAATCCACATGTACCGGTAAGTGGACCCATACAGTTCAAACCCATGTTGTTCAAGGGTCAACTGTACTTAATTTTTAAGCTATGTGCATGTAATAAACGATAAAATAAAAATTATTTGTAAATGAAAGGGATAAAAGACCCATAGAGGGAACTGGAAGCCCCAGCTTATCTCTGTAGCAGTGAAGGCTGATGGCCCTGTGGGCGGGACCTGCTCACCACAGGCCTTAAGGGACTTTCCAACCAGGACTGACTAACGTGCCCATGCGCCTGCCAGGCTTCCCCGAGGTCAGGCCCAGTCCATTCAGGGTGGCTCCCTCCGGCCCAGCACTGTGAACCTCCCCGGTGAAGGGTGTAGTCCAGGCCGGCAGGGACTCGGGGGCTCACCAAGGGCCCTCTCTCAGGCGCCCAAAGATAAGAAGCCAGACTAGTCAAGGCAGGGGGTGGGGAGGCAGAAAGAGAGAAGCCAGAGGAAGGCTTTTCCACCCACTGTGTTTGCCTCCTAGATCTGAGCCATCCCTGTTTTTAAAAATTAACAAGATTTCACTTCTACCAAATACGGCCTCTTAGAGTGAGAATCTCATCCCTCAGTGGAGACGGAACATTTGGTAGTCCTAGTGGACCACAGCTGAACAGCTCAGCAGTGATTATTGCTCCAAAAGGACAGTAGCCATACGACAGGAGTTGAGGGGTGGTCTTTTCTCAGTGCCCCTGTGGTAGGTAGGGGCTTGTTACCACAAAGCATGTGGCCCAAAAAAGGATGTTGTAAACCACAGAGGGCACCAAGATAAGAAACAAAGATGATTAAAAGGCCTCCAAGGGGGCCGGCCGAGTGGCGCGATGGTTAAGAACTTGCTTGGGATGCCAGAGGGCCCCGGTTCGGATCCCACATATGAGGGCCAGTGACACTGCCCTCCACAGCTAAGATGCTGAACAACAGCTCAACCTGGAGCTGGGCTGCCGTGAGTCGCTGGCGACGGCGTAGGCTGCAGCCCCTGTGGCAGTGGGTTGCCATGGGCTACCGTGTGTAGCCAGCAGCCAGCGTGAGCGGCCAGCAGCCGCAGTGAGCAGCCGTCCAGAAGCTGGCGACTGATCTGCCTCGCCCGGGAAGAGCGCAGTGATGGTGCCAACTTGGGCAAGTGAAGCAACGTCCTCCACAACTAGATTGAAGAACAAAACGACAGCAACTTGTCTGTTCCCCTTCCCCAATCCCCCAGCACTGTTCCCATCCCCCCAATTCCCCAAAAAAAATCTTAAAAAAAAAAAAAAAAGGCCTCCAAGGAAGTAGTTTTGTTCCGCCTCAAGAGGAGAAAAGGCCAAAAGGCCATTTTTTATTGTGTTTACGCAAAGATCTTAAGAGGGTGTCTCGGGTCACTGATTCTCCATGTTAGGAGCAGGATAAACATGGAGAAAATAATTTAAGGTTGGGCATAAGTGCTTGTTGTTGGACAAAGGAACAGTTTTGCAATTCTAATTAGGAATACATAATATAAAGAGGGGACTCCACCTAGCTAACTGCCTGTTTTCATTTTTCCATGTCCCTGCCCTTATTCAGCCATGGTTTCCACGGCCAGAATGCTATCTGATATCTGTATTGGTCACTTCTTTTTCCCAAGCTGCACCGCAGTCTGACTAGCTATCTGATTTACTGGTGGTACATTAATGTTATCAAGTGGACACACTACTGTTTCCCCTGCTTCCCAGTTTTCACAGTAACGACATAATCTCCCGTGCATGTTAGGCTAGGGCAGCCTCCCTGAAAGGAACCTTCTAGAAGAGAAGGCAAAGGCATTGAGTGGCTTCTGAAATGTATGTATCCCCAGGCTGTTTAAAGAAGCACTTGTTGGTGCACAAGAGACACTCCATAAATGAAGAAATGAATTACCACTGGGAAGTGTGACTGCCGTTGCCAAGCTAAGGACAGATAGCACTCCGGGGCCCACATTCGGGGATTCCGTTTCTCAGTGGTCAGTATTCTCATTCTAGGACCACTTCATACCCCTGAAGCCCGCCGGAAAGGCTCAAACTATTCCTCAATAATCCATTCTTTGTTTTATAACTTTATTCACAGGGCATGTTTTCAATTTTGAATGAGTGGTTTTGAAGCCTTCAACTTGGGTGAGCATTTTGTTAGCTGGAAACACGGAAGCTGCCCTAAGTTTGGAAATCCAAACATTTGGAAGGCCAGGGTTTAAAAAGACAGCTGCAGATAGGAAGTGATTTCCCGCACCGGACCCCACACAGAAAACAAACTGTTTCGCTGCATTATATCGTGCAAGACTTCTCAGAGTTTTCCAAAGTTAAAAAAATAATAAGTATAGGCCGGCAAAATGTAATGCAATACTAAAATTCTTCTGTGGTGTAGAAAAGCTCTAATTTTAATAGTGACATTTAAACTTCTTACACACGTTCCTTAAAGTTAAGCTTGAAGAAATATTCTGTCCTTTTTAATGTGATGGAAACCACAGGATGAAAATCGCTAAGATCCAAAGCTGTGCACCAGATGCTTGTACACGTTTATAATTATGTTTGAAAAAAGAAAACACAAGACCTAAATAAGCCTTT